GTCCCTGAGTTGTCCCTGGGGCTGACTGCTCCTCTGTCCAGGTTCCTGGCTTTTTATCCCCTTTCTCCTGCTCTTCCGGCCTGCTACTCTGGGAGGGCCTGAGTTGCCTCTCCTTACCTAATCCCTTTGGCTGACTGCTCTTCTCTCTGGCTTCCTGGCGTTTAATCCCCTTTCTCCTGCTCTTCCTGCTTGCTACTTCGGGCGTCCCTGAGTTGTCTCTCCTCACCTGTAACCCTGGGGCTGACTGCCTAAATAGCCTCATATGCATGTGAAAACAGGACAATGAATAAGGACCAAAGAAGTGTTGATTCTTTGGAGTTGTGGTGTTGGTGATGAATACTGAAAGTACCATGTACTGCCAGAAGAAGAAATCTGTTCTGGAAGAAGTGCAGCCAGAATGCTCCTTGGAAGTGAGAATGGCCAGATTTTGGCTCACCTACTTTGGTCATGTTGTCAGAAGGGGCCATCCCCTGGAGAAGGATATCATGCTTGGTAAAGTGGAGAGTCAGCGAAAAAAGGGAAGGCCCTGAACAAGATGGATTGACACAGTGGCTACAACGATGGGCTCAAGTATAGCAAGGATTGTGAGGCCGGCACAATACCAGGCAATGTTTCATTCTGCTGTAATAGGGTTGCTATGAGTCAGAGCCGACTCTACAGCACCTAACAACAACAACAAAGAGTGAACATTTACATCAGGTAATGTTCTAAGGAGATGCACTCCTTAGAACAATCAATCATGGGAGAACAGAAGGGCAGTATTTGCACAGGGAGACAGTTGGGGTAAGTGTTAGAGCTCCGTCAGCACTCAACAACCACGCCACACACCAGGGTACCCAACAGGAGATTTTATTAAAGAGGCGAAAGGTCACCTGCACTGAGGAAGGACAGAAGAAGAAGAGGAGGAAGAAGAAGAGGAGAAGAGGAAGAAGGGAAGAAGAAAGAAAGAGGAAGAAGGGAAGAAGAGAAGAAGAGAGGAAGAAGAAGAGAGTGAGCAGGGGAGAGGGTGGTCTTATATAGACCTGGGGTTAGGAGGTTGTACATCAGAGCTGGGGGAAGAGGTCTTAACCTATCAGAGGCTATGTTGCCTTTTAAAATTTGTGCCTTGCAAGAAGCTCAGTTTCGACTTCCTTTAACTGACTTATGACCTTAGGTGGGGCAGCAGGGAATGAAGAAGAACCCGGAAGAGCAACACAAGATGGCGTGGCATATCTCTAACAGTAGGGGGCTGGAGAAGAGAAATGCATAGGAAAGAAGGACACAGTGAAGAGGTAACTACAGGGAGGAAGTGGAAAGAGAGCTGTTACATTGTGGGGAACTTCAGTCAATGTCAAGAAACATAGCATGTATTAACTGCTGTATGGAAAATGAATTTGCTCTGTAAACTTTCACCCAAATCACAATCAAAATTAAAAAAGCAATTGCTTATGGGAAACATGTCTGTTGTATTGTTACCAGAATAGGGGTCCCTAGATCCCTTGCTTCATGATTAGTGGTAGAATAATTTGTCACTATTGCAGGCAGAACTACAGAAGTGGGGAAAAGACAAAAATTGGGAATTGAAGATCGAAAAGGGTTACAGGATTCGTTCTGGGTCTTCACTGTCTGGCTAGGTAGTGGTCCAGATAGGCTTTGACTCATGACTATGCAGCCTGAGTCTTAGCCACAAGCTGGCTACCAAACAATACCAAGACCCAACCTTAATTTGCAAGAATGGCCAGACTTCGTCTCACCTATTTTGGTCATGTTGTAAGAAG